AAATAACTTTAAATTTGTATCAATATACTATAGTCCCCTAAATGATAACAAAATATCCATAACCCACCAAATAACCAAGGACTGCCCATACCACCCAACTCTTGGGGATGTGGGTGTAGCTTTCTTTGTACTGCAGCTTCCTGCTGTCTGTGAACAAAGCATCTTTAGGGTCCCAGAGAGAAAATCTGAGATAATGGCCAAGTCTGGGAAGACCAAAAATAATCTTTGTTGATAGGTATCACCTGTCAAGATTCAGGAGGTCTCCCTTGATCACACCTGATCAATATCACTCCTAAAGTAATCCATAGCCTCTCATGTGGGGAAAAAAACTCCAAAGCATTTTTTATTTCCATTTGAAAAGTACATTATTTTTACTTCTTTTTAAAAGTTAAGATAGCCCTGAAGTGTATAGGTTGGTTTAATTTTGCAGTCCTGCTCACAGTCCCATCTCTTAGCAACTGTTGTTTGAATATCAACATTAAAAAAATTCAAAATCAACACAATACTATATAGAATCCAGACTCCTTATGTGTTTCCCATCTTATGTGGCTTTTTTCTTTTATATTACTTTTACTCTCTCTTTAAAGACTTTATTTTTTTAAAACTATTTATTTCTTTCTATAACTGCCTATACCCATTTTCTTTTCTTTCTTATGCCTACATATATTGTAAAACACACCAGAACCTATTTAAAGATCTTTCTGTCTGGACCTCTTTCATTGTGTATCTTTTAGCCTTTTTTGACCATGTGAGCAAACCTTTAGACTGCTAACCTGGATTCTTCATGCAGCTCTCTTGACTGGCTCCACCTGCTTCTTGGGTTATGAAACCCAAGTCCAAAGCTTGTGGCCAGGTTGGAGGTTTGTGACCAAAAACTGCTTTCAACCTTCCTGGAGCTGTGGCAGGTGTTTTTACTTAGTTTTTTGTTCCTATGTAAAGTACTGGCTGCTCAAGGGCTCAATGACGAGCAGAAACTGTCCTGCTAAAACTCTTAAAAGAGCCATATTCCTTTTTTTTCTTTTCAGCTTTCTCAGGCCCTGTGGGAATTTGAGAGCCCCATCTTTCATGCCAAAATGTTGTTGGTTGTTTTTGCTCTTTGGCTCTTTTGAGGGGCCTACCACCCAGCTCCCAAATAAATCACACATGGAGGCTTATTCTTAACTATGAATGCCCAGTCTTAGCTTGACTTGTTGCTAGCCAGCTTTACTTAAATTATCCCATCTATCTTTGGCCTTGGGGCTTTCCCCCTTCTATTCCTGTATATAGCTGGGTGGCTGACCCCTGGGTCTTCCTCCTTCTCTGGTTACTTCTTCCTCTCTCTTTCTCCTCCCAGATTTCTCCTTCTGTTAATTCTCTCTCCCTGCCAGCCCTGCCCATCCTTTCTCCTGCCTCTCTATTGGCCATTCAGCTCTTAATTAAACCATCAGGTGTTCTAAACAGGCACAGTAACATGACTTCACAGAGTTAAACTGCAACACAAACAAAAGTAACACACCTTAAAATATTATTTCCTAGTATAGAGACATTCTAAAACCTCATCCATTCTGTGCTATAAAGGGGAGAGCTTTCTATAGTGTGTCTAAATTAACATGAACAACAACAACAACAAAAAACTGTGAGGAAAACAAGCCACATATTGAGTTGCATCTACATAAAGCCCAAAGGCAAAGCTGTTATGTTCAGGGACAGGTATTCAGGTGGGAAAACCATAACAAAAATAATTTTCTAAGCAATGATTATAAAAGCCAGATAATTGCTCCTTGGGGGTGGATAAAGAATCATGTTTTATATTGAAGTGATGGCAAGAAAGGGCGTGGTGTATGGGGTTCTGGTGATGGCTCCTATTTTGGTGTGAATGATGGCAATCCCATTGTTCATTTTATAGTAATTCAAAAAGTTTCACAAGCATGCAGTGTGCAATTTGGATTGTATGCTCTATGTCACAATAAACATTCATTTGCTACTGAGACATTTGCTAGTGAAAAATCCATGAGTTGATAAACTACAGTTATTTAGTCATTCCCATATTATTGACATTCTGATGGCTTACAATTGTCCATCATTCTCAACAACATCATCACTAAGGATTTTTGTGGAAAAAAATTCCTTATAAACTCTGTTTGTGAAGTTAGTTTTTATTAACTTCAGATGGATTTGTAAATGTGGGGATACTGAGCCAGGAATCTGAGATTTATGCTATGGAGTCCAAATACAGTATTTTTTGTTATAAATTCCAGGGGGCTTATTTCAACCAAATGTTCCAGTTTTCCAAGCCCCGTTAGAATTCGGAGTCTGCCCTTGGGTATTTGTAAGTTGACCTCAGTCCCTGGAAAGTCAGTCCCCCCTTCGTCTCAGGAAGCTTCACTGCAACCTCTCATAAGCCCAGGCTTGAACAAGAGTTTGCTTTGGTCCTTTCTCTTTGTTATCTATGTGGTGAACAGGACCGTGCTGAGAGCCCTTGACAGAAAGGACTCCAGTTCCCTGAGCACCAGAGCGCCCAGTGGCCTGTTAATGTCAGAAGCCTCTACTCCACAACTCATTCTTAAAACCAGCACACACACGTCCTCCCCACCGTCAACATCCAAAAATTAAAAACATGACTCTCGTAAAAATAGAGATAGAACATCTGTCGAGTATTTATTCTAGCCATCTATTCACAAGGGATCAGTAGGACCCAGAAATTGATTTTTAAAAATCAAAGAATAAACATTGCTGGAGCCACTAAGTTTAAAAATACTGAGGAGAATTCTGAAGCTATGTGGAGTCCTACTTGGATGGGGCGGGATGAAACAGTAACTGTTGGGATTATCTTCTTACAAATTAAAATGTTACTTCACAATATGGGAGTTCAAGACAAAGGGCAACAAAGTCAAAATCGGGATTTTGCCAAATAGTGAATTAATCCTTAGGGGACTGATCATAAAGCAATGTTCCCATGCAACATCAAAAGGTCACAGGGTCATCCTGTGGCTGAATTTCCAGATGTAGGGTTGTTCTTCTAACACCACACTCTCCCAGCTGCCCTGAGAAAGCACTGGGTGTGTCTTCTGATATTCTGAACATCTCAGAGGACTACAGTAGATTGTATTGTTTAAAACCAACCAACAACAAAGACAGAATGAATGACTTTATCAGTCTAGAGTAGCAGAACTTATAGAATCAATGTACATGTATAAATATGTATACACATAATTTATTAGAATGACTTACAGTCCAGCTAATTCAACAAGGACTAGTTGTGAATGGGAGTTCCAAGAATACAGCAGTAGCTCAGTCCACAAGGCTGCATGTCTCAACTGGTCTTCAGGATACACAGGAATCTCAGAGAAGTAGGCTCTAACGCCAGTGAAGGAATGGATGGGTTCACAAGGTGAGAGCAAGCATGTCCTTATATAGGCTTCCACAGAAGGTGTGGCTCGGATGTGTTTCTTCCTGCAAGATCTGGATTAAAGGTGTGTCTTCCTAACTTAAAAATCCAGAGTAGAAATGGATCTTCCTACTTCAAATTAAGAAAAAAAAAATCCTCCAAAAGTGTGCCCTTCATTTGGGAGGTCTTAGTTCCAGATGTAGTCAAGTTGACAACCAAGAATAGCCATCACAGTGGCCAACTGAGTGGATTCCCAACCAGAAACTAACAAGTCAGTTCTCTTTGCTTAAAGCCATTGATATAATTCAAGATATAAGAAACTTCCCATCTCCAAATGGCCCTGTTCAGAACACATGCCAATGAGTCTCTCTTCCAGTTCCATTCAAATGATTGGTGTAGGTGCACAAGTGCATTTTTCTTAAAATAGAGCCACGTTCTGTGACCACACAGGGTTAAGACAGTCAAGGACAACTACACCATGGTTTCCTATTGACTAGTTGGGAGCCTGAAACATTGTCTGGGGAAGGTGGCATGAGACCCCTTTGCTTGTCATCATGTATGGAGACATTTGAATCCCTGGTCCCTGGTAGGATGCTAGAGAGCTATGATAGCATAGACGACAGTGTCCGGGGATTGTCTCACAAACTGCAATTGCAAGTAACATTACAGAGGCCATCCATAGAGTCAAGAGCAAGCTGATGGCAGAGGAATTTTTTTAAAAGGCTATGCCAAGTGGGGTGCCAGCAGCCGGTGTCTCAGCAGAACAGGTTGCCACATCACAGGGTGTCTATAGTTTCTCATGTGCATCCTGCTACCTTCTTTAGAACTACTGTTTATAAACTCTGTGGTTACATCTCTCCTACCCACCAACTTCTGAATGGCTTCATCCTTCTTGTGAAATAAAAGATGTCTGTAGCACTCCACAGCATCAAGAAAGTGAATATTTCTGTGAGGAAATTGGTTTAGCCAATCTACAGAGATTTTCCAATGACATGTGTAAGGCTTATCAAGGATGGTGAAGGCGTGACCCTCTTATTCTAATAATGGGATAGTATGCTGGCTAGCTTTTTGTCAACTTGACAGAAGCCAGAGCCATCTGAGAGATAGGAACTCCAATTGAGATGTGTCCATAAGATTGACTTGTGGAAAACTGTGAGGCAGATGATTAATGGAGGGGAGCCCAATTCATTATAGATGGTATCATCCCTGAAAAGGCGGTCCTGGGTGCTATAAGAAAGCAGGCTGAGCAAGTCATGAGGACCAAGCCAGTAAGCATTATTTCTCCATGACCTCTGTCTCAGTGCCTGCCTCCAGGTTCTTGCCTTAAATTCCTGTCCTGACTTCCCTCCATAATAGACTGTAAACTGTAAGATGAAATAAACCTTTCCCCTCTAAGCTGCTTTTGGTAGAGGTGTTTATCACCTTACTAAGATGAATGAATGTACACAAACCCGAACATTTTAAAGGAAAATTAAACTTGTCTTTACTAGCCTTCATTGTATACATTTTCTGCCAAATCTACCTTTTGGAAAATATCTTAATGAAACAACCAAACCTAGGACTCAATATACTTAGGAAAACATTATTACACAGTGACAATGGAGAAAAATTAGGAACAATATAAATTCCCAATTGTAGAGAACTAGTTAAATATATTGTGGCATAATCATTTATGCTGTCATTAATCATAATTTGGAAAAAATTATGTTATTATAGGTTATCCGAGTACTAAGGCAAAAGAGAACCCATCCTCCCTTGAGGAGTGAGTCTGATATTCATTCTCCACTGTTTGAAATGTGAATAAAGTTGAGTTCAAAAGCATGTCAGGAAAACTCCACTCACATAAACACATCAATGCATGCAAACAACAAAATGTAGAAGTCCCAAAGGTTAATAATGATTTTCCTCACAAAATTCAGTCAAGAGATACTTTGCTTTTCAGGATGTTTTATTTTTATAATTACTAGAATTATTCAATTTGTGCAACCCCTATGAAGTCCAGAGGAACTGTCTGACATGGCGTCCTTTGTGATTCAAGGGTTGCTTTCAAATCGCGTTTGCAAACACAGAGAACTTCCGGGAAGGATACCGCTGTTTGCCTCCTGATTCTGTTGCACTAGCATAGGGATGTTAGCGGTGCTCCCCTGGGAGTCCCCACAGGTGACTGAGTTTGGATCTTCTGTCTCCGGTGACTAACCTTATGGACTGTCTTAGCTCTTGCTACTAATAACAAATTGCCATGGTCTGGGTGGCCTAGACAACAACATTTCCCACAACCCTAGAGGCTGAGGAGGCTGAGATCAAGGTTCTGTGCACTC